CCTTACTTAAAAAAAAGGAAAATACATATTAGAGACATACCATTATTTGTCCAAATAGACATCGTATTTTTAAATACATTGCTTAACAGGTAATTTTTTTTCTTTCTTTTTTGTCGAGGTTTAAAATATTATTTCATGTAACAGAATGATAATGGCGATAATGACAAAGCAATCAACGTTACTCTTCAATGTGACTATAGTAATGAAAATAACGACAATGATAAAACTAATAACAAGTGAACAAATCAACAAACCAACATTACTCTTCTAAAGTGACAACAGCAACGACTAAAACTATACTGCTAATGCTAATAATGATCTAAGGACAAATCGACATCATTATTTTACACAACAAAAATAAAGGTAACAACGACAAAGGTAAAGAGTAAACTAAATTCAACATTACTCTTCCAGCAGGCAAAGTCATGATCACCCAACACCCAGTCCGTCCCGTTAAAGGTGACATTGGTCCACTTTTCCCCTCCGGTGGTTAAGTAGCCTTCGTGACAAGTGAAGTTGAGGGTCACGGTCTTCCAGTAGGGGGCCTCTGGTCCTTCAAGCGTGGCGTCGGTGATGTTCTCCGGGGGTCCTTCTGCCACTGTGTTTTAGGAGTAGGTTGGTCGTTGGTTGAGGTGGTTTTTAAAGTCGGTGGAGGAGTGTTTGATGTGGTTGATGGAGGTTCAGTTACTGTAGTTGTTGGAGGAACGTTTAATGCGATTGTTTAGGTGATGGTTAATTGATTATTGTGGTTGTTGGTTGATGGAAGATTAGTTATTGCGGTTGTTAGGTGATGGAGGGATAATTGTGGTTTTGGGCGTTGGGGGGAAAGTGATGGAAGGATTGTTCCGGTGGTTTTAAGTTGAAGGCCCAATGGTTATTGTGGCTTTGAGGGGACCGTCTGTTTTTTTTCGATTTTTCGATTTATCTTGCCGATTTTGATGAAACTCACACCCTTTTATTTGGGCCCCTTCCCATTGCCTGCGGTCGATTTTTTCGAAATCGCCCGAACAGTTTTTGAATTATTGTCAAAAAACGGAAAAATGCGAAATTCGCCATTTTGAAAATGCAGCACCTGGGTCAAAGGATTCCGACTTCAGAAACGGCAAGACATTCAATTTTATTTGATTTTTGCTCAGAACTACCTTATATCTACAACTTGATCGAGAGCGTTTTTTCGATTTCGACTTCAATTTTTTTTTGTGAATTTTTGAAGTTGGGGACTTCAAGAAAAAAAAAAAAAAAGGTAAAAATTTTCTTACATTGACCACTTTTACAAGAAGTACAGGCAAAAACTGCGAAAACGCTCTCGATCAAGTTGCAGATATTTTATTTTTTCTACAAAATGAGCCATAATATGTTAATTTTGGACATATGGTGTGCCCGGAATCCTTTGACCCACCCCTAATGGTGGAGTTCCGAGATATCGGCATTTTACGTTTCTTCATTTTTCCAAGGCTATCTTGATATCAACAAAACAAGGCATAAGATTAGTCTTATTACACCATAATCCTCTATCATCTACCTGCATTCCGAAGTCTTGCGGACATTGCCAGCACGTAACGGTTTCTCAAAATCTTACGTATAGTGCGGAGTGGTGGCAGTGATATGGGGGTCTATAGGCCTACATTGACCATTTTTAAAAATTTCTCAAAAATCCAAAAAAAATCATACAGCCATTCTGATTTCATGTTTGAATAGAACTATCTTTCTACTATTATTTTTGAGAAGTTGACCTTACTTTTTTCTTGGTGAATATTTTCCGAAGGTGACTATTTTAACACCCTAATAGGAGATTTTGGAAACATATGTCACTTTTACAAGAACCACGTGAAAATATTGCAAATCCTCATGGCAGTATGTAATAGAACTATTATTCAGCTACAAAATGAGCCATAATACTTTAAAATCGGACCGATTATACGTGTGCTATGCGTAAAAATATGACGGACCTAAAAAACGCGATCTTTTTCCTTTTTATTATGTTTACATTTTACATGACAAATCATGTACAGAATACTTGTATTTGATATAATTATCTATCATATACCTATTATTGATGCTCTAATGAGGTTTTACAACGTATAATATTTGTCGAAAGAATAACTTTTCTCCAGTCGGACGGGTACCGAACACATACTTTTCCCCACGCGGCGGGGCCGTCTTGGACCATGAAAATCGTCTTTTTAAATCAGCGGAATAACTCTACGGGATCACGTAGCCAAATTTCACTCTCAGACCCCGTGATCTTGGAGTACCTCTTGCTAGGATTTCACACATAATTAAAACTTCCTTCAAAGAGGACTTGTCTGACTTGATTAATTCTCAACGGCCTGAAAGCTGTAGCATAAAGCACTATGACAGGTTTATGCAAGATGTTTTCATCTATGGTTTATACAAAACAAGAACAAGACAGTGTGATATTGTGACCGCAAGAATCAGGCTGGGATATAGATTGTACTGGCAGGTCAGTACAGCCTGTAATGTTGAAGAAACGAAGTGTAAATTATGCAATGAAGAATATAAGCGAACACTTGTACATTATATCTCAGAGTGCCATGTAATACAGCCTTTCAGACCACCTAGCATGAGGTATGGAGAACTATGTAACTACTTCATATCATCTGATGTCTTGGAAGATATAATTATGTTATATCCTAAATTTGGAATGTAGTATCACATGACCACACATCAAATGTTACATTGCCTTTCCACGCCCAAGCCGTATGCCGGCTTGACAGATGAGTAGATAAATTACTGATCGTTCTTTTCCTTTAAATGATATATTTTAGACCGTAATAATTTTATGATCTAGATTTACACTGTAATACTATTATATAATGCTTTGACCATGTATCAAATGTACTACAGCTTGCCCACGCCTGTGCAGTTAGCCAGGGTGGTAAATAAAGGACTAAACTAAACTAAACTAAAAGACCCCGTGGAAAGACGAAAAACAATTACATGGCGATGTGAAAATATGTATATAAGGTATATGAGCACATATAGATAATTTTCGTGTACCCCATGACCTTTTGTTTATTTATATTGTTACTTCCGTTTGTTTCTTTGTTTGTTTATTGATTGTTTATTTGTTGTTTTTCTGATTATTAGTTTGTGTTTTCTAATATTTCTAAAAGTTATGAACACATTTTAACGAGATTTTAACCAAAAGTGAGTTTTAACCTAACTTAGACGCTTATTGCAGTTTGGTGGTGATGCGGACCATGGTTTGGATCCAGGAATTTTTTTTTCTAACTCGAAAAGTTATCTACAGATATGAATAAAATTTTAACCTGAGGTTTGTCTTAGCCTAATTAATATTCCATAAAATTTTGGTGGTGATCCTGAATATTTGGCAAAACTACCCCCCATGGGTGGGGGGGGGGAGGTTTGCATTTTCGAAATGTTTTGCTCATAGATCAAAGTAACTATGTATGATGAAAACATAAAGAAAAGAAAATACACCATATGAAAAACATATCATGTTTAGTTATTTATATGGAAAATTTCTTCATTGTCGTTTTTGGACGCTTGCCGGATTTTTTAAATTATTCCGAAAAAACGAAGGTTTGTCTCATCTTATGTGAAATTTGATAAGCTTTCAGAAAATAACCTCATATTTTTATTATCTTTAATCATTGCGTCACAATTGCCGATTTTCTAAGGTAACATAAAAAAAATAATATTTCGTTCGACATCGAAAATCGCTGCTACCACCTAAAAAATAACGGTCGGGCCTTGAAATTTTCAGGGGAGAACCGGGGGCTTAGAGACTCCTTGAAAATGCATTAAAGTCAATTTCGGCAAGAGGGGCGATAATCGCCGAAAAATCACCAGAAGGTCCCCTTGAGTCACAATAAATTGATGGAGAAGTTACTGCGGTTTTAGATGACGATGGAATAGTTATTTTTAGAGATTATTTATTCACATCATTTCTTTTAAACCAAACAATGTAAATCGACATTGACATATAGGGAAAAAAAATAATATATGCTATCTCAGTCTCAGATACGACTATCTACCAAACCTTTCCAACAAGCGAAGTCAGGGTCCTTCATCACCCAGGTCGTCCCAGTGAACATGACGGTCGTTTGTTTTTCTCCCGAGGTCGTTAACCAGCCATCGTTACAGGTGTAGTTGAGGACCGAGTCTTTCCAGTGGGGAGGGTCGGGTCCTTCGAGGGAGGCGCCCGTTACATTCTCGGGAGGCTCCTCTGCTCCTGAAGAAGTTGGATGAAGGAAAAAAAGATTAGAAGTGTATTGGCGTTTGAATGGAAAAACAAAGTGCATGGAGAGAGAAATAAATGAGGGAGAGGCTGTCTGTGATATAGGCAGGCGGAGAAAGATAGATATAGATATAGATAGAATGAGTCGGAGAGAGTCACAAAGAGAGATAATATCCAGGTCATTTCAGTAACTTCCCAAGAAGGCTTCTGAACATTAAAGAGAGTCAGACGGAGATTCAATTCACAGGCAATTTATCACCCTTTAGAATGTGAAGATCGAAGTCGTGAAGTAAAAAGCACAGATTAACAGGAAAAATTATGTAAAAAAAAATAATAATCGCCCGAAGTAGTGAAGTAAACAAAACAAATTTAACAGGAAAAATTATATTTCTTAAAATGATAAAAAAAAAAGATAAATAAAACATCCTCAAGGAAAACTCCATCGATAACACTGACTTACGTATTCTGCAGATGAGTAGGTCTTGGTCAGGCTGTGTCCAATTCCCGTCTTCCTGACACGTCAAAGATATGTTGGTTCTTTCGTCCGCGAATCTCAGGCCGTCGGGGCATTCAAGCAACACCTGATGAGCCATCATATGATGTGATTCGTATGAGGTATGGCCGTGTATGTGTACTCTATGTAAGTGTTTGTGTGCCTTTATTTGCGTTTAGGTGTGTGTATGCGTGTTCATGTAATGATTTTATGTGTCTGTATGTGTTTTGTATACAGATATAACACACACAAAATATGAACATACTGTATTTGCAATTTTCCTTAGGCTATGTGCACTATCCTATGCTCACCATCCTTTGCCCTTCACACTATGCCCATCATTCTGTGACCATCACCCTATGCCCATCATCCTTTGCCCATCACCCTTTGCCCAGCACCCTACCTCTGTGCCATAGGTGCGATTCTGGCCATCCCAGGATAAGATCGCGGGAGGTGGGGGGGTCACAGGATCCTCCACACAAACTGTTACAAGAAAAAAGTGTTTTAATGGAACAAAAGTATCACTGGTAACTCTAATGATAACGGAGATAAGTGTTTTTGGTATTGTTGATAGCTTTAATGATAACGGAGATAACACTGTTATCTAGGTAGTTGGAATTTATTTGTTACACTAATGAAATTATAATATCAGTGATATAATCGATAGTGATGGTTATGATGATGAAGATGACAGTAGTGATTTGATAATGATAAATTTGTTGGTGATAATAATGATATCAATGGAGATAATGGTGATATTGATAAACATAATAATGATATTATTAATACTGATGACAATGATGGTAATGATAGTGATAATAAATAATTAAAGTATTATCATTATAATAAATGATAATGATGCTGATAATACTAATAATGATGGTAATAACAGTAATAATAGCAATAATAATAAAAATAATAGTAATGATAAAAATAATAAGGGTTAAGATACCAACAGTGATCATGAACACAGTCACTGACTTATTGCGCACTCCAGCCCCGTGCCGGACGCCCTCCAGAGATGGTCTTCGCCGCACACAACGGCCGTCTCGTTCAGCAGGTCAGGGAACGTCTTTGAGAGAGGGAAAATACGAAAAAAAGAAGAAAAATGTCTATCATTCAAACAATAAGATTTGTACGAAAATATATATATATCAACATGTTATTATGAACAATATCGGTGAGTGGAACAATTTGAAAAGAAGAAACATTAATAAATCAATCGCTATGGTTTGTAGAAGAAAAAGTATTACCATGTCACCGTGAAAAATATCAAGAACCAAACAGTGTGATTTATATATATATAACTGAAATATATCCACAATAAGTATTAAAAAATGCATGTATACCTTCAATTTATATATGAAAAACAGTGCAAGGCAATATTTCATCCCTCGGAAATACAATTAATACTTCGATAAACTTACGCTTGGGATGAAGTGTCCAGGTTCGCACACATACGTCACATTGTCGCCAATGAAGTTAGAAGTGAAGTTGAGCTGTGTCATGTTTCGTCCGGGCTCAGGGGGGTCGCCGGTGCAAGCTATGCGGAAAGAAAATGAGATACGCCTCGTTATTTTGGATGATTAATGCCATACTAATTCTGTATTTATTTTCTCTTTCTTTTTTCTTCCTTTTTGTGCGCTGAAATTTCACGCAAACATGCCGGAAGGTCATGATATAAACATGATGTTGGTTCATATTACTTTGGACAATTAGCGTGTTTTTATATTTCATTTCATTATTTTCAGTATGGGACTAAACATTGGCTAATTTCTCTCTAAGTAAAAGAAGGACGAAAGCTAATGTAGGCGGATGTCATCAAATTCTATCGAAGCACTTGCGTATACCTAATAATAACCACAAGAGTAGGAAATTCCCATTACATCACGAGACCATGCATATTTCACAACGTAAGGCTCATAATGCAAAAAATAAATAAATAAATATATAATAATAATAATAATAATACATTTTAAAAAAATCTCGTCACATAACGAGACCACGTATGATATTCCACAATGGAAGACTCAAAATGTAAAAAACAAAAAAGCCAAAATTCCCGTCACATCACGAGAACATGCATGATATTCCACAATGGAAGACTCAAAATGTAAAAAAAAAAAAAGCCAAAATTCTCACCGTCATGGCATGGCGGAGGTACTTCCCAACCAACCTCCTTGCACAGAATTCCCACCTGGTCACTCCCCAGGGAGAAGGTTTTATTCTCTGCACACGTGACATTCACAGCATCATCGACAACGTAAGTCATGTTCTCCATCCACGTTGTCGTTGCGTTGAAGACAACCGGCGTGAGTCGGCATACTAGAAGGGGCAGAATTTGATTAGCATTTTAAACATTTTATTTTATTTTATTTATAGAATTGTCATTATTGTTATTATCATTATAAGAATAGTTATAATGATGAAAATGACAATAATAATTAGGATAATAATCTTTATAACTGCAATAATGATGATAATTACGGCGATAATTACTAAAATAATAATCATAATAATAATAATGATGATAATAATTAGTGTGCCCATTTATAATAAAAAGGATAAAACTTTATTTCATTATTTTTTATATAATCTATTTTATGAGTCAAAATTTTAAACATTTTATTACCAAGAGGTTGAAGGGATCGTGAGTTTGTAATAAAAGTGACGTTATGAACTGAAGCTTCGGACAAAAGTGACGTCCTGAATTAAACCTCGGACAGAAGTGACGTCATGAACTGAAGCCTCGGACTAAAGTGATGTCATGAACTGAAGCTTCCGACAAAAGTGACGCCATGAACTAAAGCTTCGGACAAAAGTGACGTCATGAATTGAAACCGGACAAAAGTGACGTCATGATCTGAAGTCTCGGACAAAAGTGACGTCATGAACTGAAGCTTCGAATCCGCTGCTTTTCCTATACAAAAACGTAATATGAAGCGGACGTTCGAGACTGAATTCGAGACGGGTTTGGCAGAAGGTTTGACCGTGGCTGTTCGTGGAAGAATGTGTTGGTTTCTAGTTGATGATGCCATAGTATTCAGTGATTGATTTGGTTATGATGTCGATGTGTAGTATATAGTATGATCTCTCTGTCTCTGTCTAACTCTATCTGCCTCTCTCTCTCTCTCTCTCTCTCTCTCTCTCTCTCTCTCTCTCTCTCTCTCTCTCTCTCTCTCTCTCTCTCTCTCTCTCTCACCCTCATTCTCTCCCTTCCCCTTCCCATGCCGTTCAACTTCTCCTTCTTCCTCTCCTCACCATCCTCTCTCTTATCATCCCCTCTCCTCCTCCATCCCCTTCTTCCTCACCCCATCCCTCTCCCCTCTACTATCCCTACCCATTCCTCTCCCTTTAACCCATCCCCATCCCTCTCTCTCCAGCAACTCCCCCCCACCCTCCTCCAACTCCAAAAAAACACACCCACCCACCTTTACACAAATCAAGGCTTTGCGGCGTGAAGCCGTACCCATCTTGGCTCTCGTTATAAGTGCAGTTGACCGTCATCTCTCTGGCCAAAGAAGGGTAGAATGCCATGGGTTCCGGGCAGGTAAAAGTGATGCTCCCATTCAGGTGGAAGGACTCGGCCGTAGAGTCGTTCTTCAGCATGAGGTTAGGTTCGATGTTCTGCAGGACGTCTGCGTTGCAGACTGGAAGGATAGAGAGAGAGAGAGAATTCAAATTCAAATTCAAAATACTTTATTCAATTTGTTACATTGGTTATTCTTTTTACATAAATAGTGATATTGCAGTACATATGAAAATAAGCTAAACATAGAATTAATGGTAGTGCATATAAGTCTTGTCTATTCTCAGAGAGAGAGAGAGAAGAGACGAAGACATGAGTCAAAGGAAGAAATTATGGGAAACAACAAATCCATAAAATAACAGGGTCTTTTCTTTCACAAGAGAAAATCAACCCCAGGGCCAATTCTCACCTGGTGCCACTTCGCAGTCCACGAAGTCACTCTGAAGAACCCAGCCTCCCAGCTGGCCGAAACAGATGGCTTGCTGCGTTACGTTAGGCACGGTAGCGTTCACGAAAAAGCCAGGGTAACACCTGTTGACGAGATGATAATGATAATAATTTAGAGTTTGCTGTGACAGGCTTTTGTGACATCGGTCAAATTGTGGCTTATCCGCTTATTGTGCTTCTAAGCTACCCCCTGTGTGCGAGGAATTGTCGGGTGGCCATCCACTGGCAGTGCGCGGGAATGAACGCAGGTCAACAAATATACAGATACACCAAAGGAGGGGTAAAGCGGTCAGATTTGAATGTTTTAAGATTTTTATGTTTTGGTTAAGGTTATATGAGTTTTAGATCCATTGTTTGTGATTGTTGGGTGATGTGGGTTGAGCGATTGAGAGCACGAACTGCGTGCGAAGATTTTCTTTTTATTTGCGAAATGAATAAGGCTTTCTATTAAACACATCAGTGCATAGATACTTCAATGGAGAATGCTTCTTTCAAAAAACACTATGTAAAGGATTGAAGACAAACAACATATCTACACAGATCTTTTTACAGTAGCGAAAGATTCCGTATTTGATTCTCCCCCACGAGAACCCGATTCATTGCGGACAGCCACGGGAAAAATCATACTATCCTGTTCAATATATCCGAGTAAAAAAAAAATCGTGCAATGCATTTAAGGAAGTCATAAGAAATTTTATCTCAGTATTACCCGTTAGTTCGCTTACGAATCCCATAGTTTAATAGATGTATCCGTTTTTGGTTTGTTAGGCGAAATCTCAGCTAGAGTAGCGTAATTGCATATATCCCCACCCAACAGGGCGTGGTGTACTTGGCGGGGGAGGCCCATCTCCTTCCCAACATCTCAGCCTTAGAGGGTTGGTGAAGCAGAGTGCTCGAAAATTAAAATTGGAGAAATTGGAATATGTTTTCCTAAAATTTGTATGGTATTGAACGAATTATAGTTTAACATCATTCTTTATTCGGGATATGAGGGAGCGATTGACGTGAGCTCTACATTATTTTACCCATTTTCCTTTGGTGTCTGGTTTGTCGGATAAAGGATATAGTATAATCGACTATAGTTAAGCCGACTGAGGGATATAAATATTTTTGAAGCGAAGACTAGCAGGTCATAAATAGATCACCATATTAGGAAGCTCAACACGCTAGAGGGTCATATTAGTTTTATGATCATGTTGAGTTTTTGCGTTGTATACCTATCCTTTCCCTGGATACCAGCACGGGCATGCATCTCCCTTTCTACGGTATGTAATCCCTACACTCTCATTCGTCACCATCTATCCTT